ATGCTTACAAGACAAAGAGTCCTCCTTTGGTTGTTCTGAACATATTGCTCGACGAAATACTGCAGCATGTGGACCAATTTCCATTGACAGAAACATGTGAGGCTCCAAGAAAATAGACCTATTTTTCCAGTAGTTCAGTTAACACGCTCCACGTTGGTGCTGAAATTTGGTACAGACGGGATGACATTGAATTATGTGTGGTTACCGCATATGTTCAACACTTACTACTTGATTCTGGTGAGTTAACCAAAGTAAACTTTTTCAGTAAGGTTATTACGAAGCAAATCCTGATTGGCGTGTATTCAGTGTTTAATACATCGCGGCAGTTGATGACAGGTTTTAAAATTTGGCACATGTAGGATTATTTGGGGCAGACATGTGTTGCTTTTATGTACGGTAGTTGCATGCTCATCAGCATATTCCTCAAGCGGTTACGGCAAAAGCCTGTCACTACTAGGCAAATTGAATGAATGCTAGTGAACAGGTACATTTAGCTGTCACGCAAGTATGACATCTGTCTATCCGTTTATCTTGCGCTCACACATTTCGAAACGATGGAAAACTCATATTGCTCGGAAAACGAAGAAGACTCGTTTGATCCTGATTGTCTTCATTTACTGTCTTGTTCCCCATTTTAATGGGTTAAAATATTTTGGACGGAAACATTAATATATATTTGTTCGTTGACGGTTGACTTCAAAGTTCATTTAATTTATTGCCATAGACCGCAGAATTATCGTCGCCAGCGCCTGATGGTACCAATAGAAGGTCTATTGTTAATTTCCCCATACCCATGGCACACTGATACTTACCACCAATCCACTGACTATAAATCGGCTAGAAACGATCAAGAGTCCCTTCTGACTCAACACTAAAAGGGCGCGGTAGAAGAATGTGCTGCTATCGGGTATACAATTGCATTAAGCATTCCATCGAAACTTGTGTCAGAATATTGGTAATCCATGATCGCCGTCTTTGCCCTACCTCCGGAGTTTCTTGCCCTTTGTCGCTTTTCCCTAGGCAGCTTAACCTAGTTTACGAAAATTGCATCGGTGGCATTAGTGTTGGTATATTGAAGTTCCTTCTAAATGTTTTGTCGATCGTATGAAAGAATCTGCTGCAAAAGATTTTGTTTATAATTGCTGAACAAATGCTGGGCAAAAAGTGAAATTCACTTTACTTTGCTACATTTATGATTCGGTGTTGACGTGAAGTTAGCGAAAATTTAGGGCAGAAAATATCCTCATGAAGATTGCAAAAATGTGCCAAAACGGAATACGCGTGTGATGTTACGTGTGGCACGCTAGTACGTCGAGCGAAGCACCTAACGAGCGCACGAAGACCTTTCTATCCGGTTTGAAGCTTTATAATCTCAAATCCACACAGAATAATTTGAAACCGGTTTGCTCACAAGGAAGTATTTTCTAAGATGATTAGCAAATCCTCCATCGGCAAGTTTATGCTTCAACCCAGATCATTTGTTCAAAATGCGCAATCAACATTTTGTCAAAGTTTACAGCAGCAGCAAAGCTCTGCACAGCAGGGAAAATGTTGAAGAATGTCATCCTAGTTGGCATTAAAAGGAATCCCTCGACATGATTATGATGAAAAGACCTAAATTATTCTCAGCTCGTTGAGCCAGGCTCCATAAAAGCAAGACTCAAATCTTCAATGACGTGATAACCTAAGTGCTGTACTTTGAATATTTGCAATCCCACAATAAATCGGCCTACACAAGTGTTGTTAGTTTACTCTCGCCGAATACATTTGCAGTATTTCACATGGCTAAAACAACCGGCATCATCCTAAAAATTTAACGACACCCGATTTTCAGATGCGCTAACGGCACTGAAACTCACAAAGCTCCCGCCCATGGTTAGATTGCAGATCGTGAGCACGCTTGAAATTAAATTCCTCAGAGTAACTGGTAGGTGCATTCTAAGTAATTTAACTAAGACAGTGGTGTTCACAATTTTTCCGGCTTATATGAACATATATTCCATTCAAAAATCGACGTTGACAAGACAATAACTCACGGCTCTCTTAAACCAATTCGTGTTGAAATGAGGCGGACCGCAAAATAGTCTTGGGTAGCCATAGCCCAAATGACGGAATGCGTGAAAATCTTATTCAGTTTTTCCTTCTAACAACAGTCGAGTTAAAATCACTTGCATGGGATTTAGCATTGAGCATACACGGCCATGAAGTTTGGAGGCGCCGAAGATACGGTGTGTTGAAACCGCCTAATGTAATATCTGAGTTAAAATTTACGAAGGTTGTTTTTTTCAGTTTAACAGAGTATTTTATTTCTTTCCAAATATTCAGTAGCCTTCCACCCATAGATATTATTTCAACACTCATAAGTGCGACAATATGAAACAACAGACTGACCAAATTTGAGCCGCATGCTGCACATTTTCACACGCTTTCTAAGGGATGCAGCAGTCGATCAAATCCGGCAACCGCGCACCAACTGGCAAAACGTCCTGCTCCGCATTAACCAGCTTTCAGCTACCCCGTTGTGACGGATGCTGTAATTTTGTTGATGTATAACGCTGAAAATATATGTCCTGCATCTAATTTGTTATCGAACACAACTCAAACCTCGGAATTTCTTCGACGTCAAACAAAAACTCGCAGTCAAACAGTTTTGAAGAACGTCGTTTAAACATACATAATCACATCATTTGGGCTACCTAAAGGGTTCATAACCTAAAACTAATGGGACTCAAGTAATAAGATTTGCAAGATAAATTGTGGTTGCCTTTCTGGGCAAACTTCAAATTCAGCGGGAAACAGCAAAGCATTGCCATTCGTTTGCCGTCTCTTTGGTTTGTGGGAGTTGTGCAATGCACAATCAAAAAATGCGGCCGTGCTACGTCTTGATTAGTTGAGCAACGTTTGCTTTAAAACAGGTAATTATCAAACAGACCGTAGATTATTTTGAGAAAAATTTTGTTCCACCAAACGGTTTCGTAAAAATCTACTGGCTCTGAACAATCAAAATATTGAACTATTAATCCACTTGCGGCACAGGTTAGGAAAACCTTGAGTAATCAAGTCTTTTCCGTCATTCTCTAGGATAACTTCAGTTAAAGCTCAGTTATGTTTCTCCTACTACACCGTCAAGTTTGTCGAAGGAGCTACTCACGTTCCGTGACTTGATGCTTCGTTCAATAAAATCAGAAGTCTTTGCCCATTTGAGAGATGTAGTGAAGTACCTACGGGGAGCATGTCTGCGGAACTACAATCCGAACCTGTCTGCTAATCATTTAAGTCATTTTCTTTTACCTACGAGTGCAGTGGAAAATAAACTGTTTTTGCAATCCACATGCCTCACGTCTTTGGAGTCTATTCATGAAAGAATACTAGGAAAAGTACAAAGGCATATTTTAATGATTTCCGACTAACCAGTTTCTGCCAGTGATTGAAATCGGTAAAGGCAAGTTAGAAGTCACCACTTATAATGTTTGTCGTGTTTGCCTCCATAATCCTGATTAGGTACGACATAAATATACTTATGTATATATATGTGTATATAGGTATGTATACATATATACATATAACGGATCATATTTTGATCGGCGATGAATAGCACTTATGATTTGATCTACTAGGCGTCGTCAGTGAACACCTTTTGCAATAAAACAACTTGCATGTAGTTTATTACCTTTCCAATGGAGTGCGCAAACTTTGAATATCTGGGAAAGTTTTGTTGGCTTGAACAGCAGATGCGTCCGGCCGTCACGGATTTCCTGACATTGCAGGATGCGTAATGCACCGCTTATGAAATTAAGACACCTCTAAATGGCCGTTTGTTGTTTTCAAACTACAGTTTGTTTTTGGATAGTTTTATGCACCGGCTGACTTCACATGCAGTGAAACTCAATTTCTCAGCGTAACTGGAAGCTGTCTGGGAAGGCAAGATGGCGTGCAAAATTATATGTGTAAGGAAAATCATTTTGATCTAGTTTCCTAAGTGCTGGAGAGAAAAATTTCTCGCTTTAAAATTTCGTTTTCTATTCTTACTTGAACATGCATTTGAAGGGTACGCCACGACCACAATTCCATATTTATGCTATTCCTTGAAATATACTGGAAACGTGTTTGATACTCATGCGACTTACGCCAAATACGCACGGAATAAATGCACTAGGAAATGAAGAACTTTCGCGGGACATACTGTGGCTTATCTGTAAGCAACTTTTTATCTGTCATACTTGTCATCGTTATATTGATTCGTCATTTCTGAGCCTTATACGTGCACATATCCTGGCATAAATCCGATTCGTTGAATATCATTTGTAATTTGTCTGTAATGCGAACGCAATTAAATTCACAAACTGAGACCAGTTCTTAGCAAATCTGGCCATTTCATGTACGAATTCTAATGGGTATTTTATCATCGTGCTCGTGTGATGAAAACCTGCCATTTTCTGCGTCGCCATCCAATGATGTGGTAAACAGCAAATGTTTTGAATTTTCTCTAAAAAGGCGAACTATGTTTTGCACAAATCATGCCAAAATCACAGTCTAAAATCCTATTTCACTGCGGGACGTTGTGCCCTCTAATTGTGATCGGATATAACGTCAAAGTTCAAAATTATAATTTGGGTGAATGTGACTGAAACTTCACCCATGCAGTAACACTTTTGATCAGGTATAACAAAATATATTTCACTGCGATAGATTTAGCTTATAAGTACGTTCGGTTCCAGAATCCAAGAAGGTGTTTCGAGTTCATTTTTGCGCAAATCTTCTGAGAAAAGCGCATTGTTTGTAGCAATAACCACATTTAATTTAACTGAAAACTGCATGATTGCTTACTGTAAAGTGTTTCGTTGCATAATTAGATACATCTGTAAACTTCACCTATGAGAGCAAGTCCTCTTAGGGGAGCCTTTGAGAGAATATTTGAAATACGGGAATGAAGTACCGTAAACGTTGACTGAAGAACACCTCACAGAAGTTATCATGGTGATTTGTGCTCCAAAACTTACCTTTGGTTACTGTTGATTTTTTGCAAACAAATGTTATTATAATGATCATTTCCAGTCTGCTTGTGTTTAGCATGCATCCGGATTTCACCACTTTGATATAAGTTATATGTGCTTTTAAACTTTCGCGGACGTACCCTTGAAGCATTTAAAAATTTTTCACAACAACCAATTGATTGCAGCTGTTTCGGCTTTATACATCCTTTTTTTCAATCTGGCGTTAAATCCGGTCAGCGGATTTCCAGTTATGTGCACATAAATTCGACAACGACCACAGGAAAATGGTGCCGTATTACTCAGTCGATCGGTTTTTGTATTTTTCTAATCACCACGTGTGGTGTGCAAAATCCTAATGTATAGGATCAATATTTTATGATAATTTGTGAAAGATATCAATTCATTCGCTGATTGCATTTTTGCATAATGTAAATTTGATATTCGAGGAGCTCACTTGGCATAGTAAGCTTGAACTAGATAAGTTTGGCAGAGCCTACTGAAACACTGTGCAGTCCCCACGCGTTTGAGCTTCATGAAATGCAGAAAGTGTCCAAGCGGTAATAACTAGAAGTATTTGAATTTCTTGCACTCTTAAATTGTATTGCAAACTGAATTATCCTGTGTCCCTCGAAATGCTGCTGTGTATCCCCTCACCAATGAATATCCGATGTTTTCATTCAGCCTCAGCCTATCAAGGTGACTCTGGAAGGCTTCTAATTCCTTGTCCTTGTTTCCCTTTCCGTTCTCAATATTCCTTCTCTCCAACAACGCTGCTGCTTTTGTTTGTTTCACCGGATCCAGCCGTTGGATTTGCACCAATTTTCCGAGATACAGTTCGACGACCAGTACTTCTCTTCCAATCGTGAACTTGTAAACTCACATTCAGACACCGGCCTTGACAGCCAATCAGCCAAATGTTTCTCCTTCCCGGGCGCGTGCTGGATTGTGAATTCGTACTCTGGCAGCCGGTGTGACCATCATGCGATATTCTTGCAAGAATATCTCATGGTTCTGATTCACTACAGACGTTGGCGATTGGTATTGGCATTAATCCTTCGCCCAAGTAGACAAGGTCTCCACATATCCAGGACCAAGACGACCGCTAAACAATCCTTCTCAATCGTGGAATACTTCTGTTCAGTGTTTGTCAGGACGCGACTGGCATATTTGGTACCTCCGTTCCTCCGCTTTAGCACTGCGCCGATCACTGGCGTCCATTGCAACAATGAACATCTCTCCGACCATAGGAAGTTTGAGGGTTAGTTGCTGATCCAACGTCCACGCTTTGACACGCCCAAATCTTCAGGTGCTTCTACGTTCCATTCGAATTTCCAATTTTGACCGAGCAACGCGTACGGTGGCACAGCAATCTTGTTGAAATCCTTAACGAACCGACTGTTGTATGCTGTTCGTCCAAGAAACTGGCGTAGAGAACGCCTTGAATCGGGAACAGCGAAATCTTTGACCTTTGGCAATGTTTCGGGCAGTGGGCTAACTCTCCCCGAACCCAATTTATACCTCAGCAGTGTCACCGAACTCCGAGCGAGCTGTGTCTTGGCTTCATTTATCCGCAGGCCAGCCCCCCGAATCCGCTTTAATACAGCATCCAAGTGAACAGCCCCTCTAGTTCTGAATTGCTGTACACAACGATATCGTCTCCGTACACGGCAACATTGTGGAGTCCCTTCGTTACACAATTCATCAAGCGCCGAAATGTGAATGGTGCCCCGGACAGACCAAACGCCATTCGTCTATATTGATTTTGGGTGTCCAATAAACGTAAACGCCGTTTAATCTCGGTCCTCTTCTTTGATAGGTAGGTGGCAATATCCAGAACGCAAGTCAAACGCAGTAAAGGATCAAGTATGCTGGAAGGAATTGAAAATATCTCTAACCGAAGCCACAGCCACAACCCGATTTACGGTCAGTTCATTCAAACGTCGGAAATTCGGGCAAAAACTCTAATTTTCGTTTGCCATTCTTAAAAGCACAACTGGGGAATTGTACGCACTATAGGCTTTTTTGAATGTACCACTATTCAACATCTCAGGAATCTGTCTATGGGCCTCCTCCCGTTGGTGCAGCGGCAACGCACGGAGTCCATAAAGTAAAAAGTGGTCTGATGTCGTAGGAATTTCGTGTTCTATCCACGGCCAGAAGACAAAAGGATCCTCATCGCCCGTGAACAGTTCGGAATATTCTTCGACCACGGCCCGTACTGACGATACAAGACGGCAGTTTTCGGACACGCAGCTCGCTCACGACAGTGCCTGGATTATCTTCGAGCTTGATTGTGCCATAATTTGTCACCAGCTTTACGTCGATCACGGAATCTGTGCCCTTGAGAAAATCAGCTCCCAATATTGTCTGCCCTACGTCTGGGCTGATCAGCAGCGCGTGCTCCACGGACTTGTCACCTAGGCGTATCGAGTGCGTTGACAATCTGTCAGCCTTCAGTCGATATCCACCAATGGCTGTCACGGCTAGCGCGCACGGTCTGTGATCCGCTTGGTTCCCTCTTTGCCTCAGCGATACAACTGCTCTTGTAACAATCAAACATAACTCCTTTTTCCCGTCTATTTCGACAATGGTTTGTATGGTGGCTTGTGTCAGTGCGGTAATGGCGACTTATCCAGGAAAAGAGGAGCATTCTAAATTTTATTGTGTACATTTGACCGGTACGAGGATACTGAGTGTTCCAGTGGCCAGGCTTACCGCACATGTAGCACCGGCTGGTTCGAGCGTGTCTCCGGGATTCCGTTTTCACGGCTGCAAGGTTTTCGGTGAGTTGTTCCAACCTGGTCCGCAGTTCCTCCAGTGATGAAACATCCCTCTTCTCTTGCGAGTGCGACGTGCCCAGCGGTTCCTCAGGCAGCTACCGGGCCAGACGCACCAGGACCTTAACAACAAACAACTGGCCAGTTGTCTATGCCTACCACAACTGGGCACCAAGAGCGGGTTGCACACCTTCGACGAACTGATCCGACAGCAACTGGTGTCGAGTCTCGGCAAAGCACGATCCAAAAACTGCTGCACGCCGGCAAAGTACACGGTCTTGACAGATCCGGGTGCCGCCTCATAGCCACCTAGCGGTCGGCCGTTGTTTCGAAACCCGCTGCAAGTACAGCATTCGCGGCGCCCCAGTCTATTTTCTGAGGGCCTCTTCTGGCCGCATCCAGGGCGCCTTCTCCCGGCCTTTGAGGAGGGTTTTGAGCCCTGCTAACAACCCTGTAGAATTTAATATTGTGCTGAGTAATGAAACAGAATGCATCGCCTCTGAATTTCTACACAGAAGGTTGGCCTTAAGTTGACAATTTTGAAAATCCAACCTGCTCATTTCGGTGATCAACGAACTTATATTTCTACTACATAGTGTCGGCAAATGCTAATTTACCGAGCCGATTTTGCACTAGGCCATGAACCCATTTTGAAAATTCCGCATTAAAAATAAAGCTGTTGGAATGCACCCATATTATTCGCAATTTACATGACTCGAAGATTTTTAACTTTCAGTAATCTCAGCGGTTTACACAATATTCACGTCCATGGATGAACGCGCAACACTCCGGTGAGATGTTTGCACTGATTGAGGTTGAGGCGCATTCTTCAGTTAGTAAGATGATGCGCGTGAATTCTTATATGAGCTTGTGTACCTATTCTTATATACCTGTTAAAAAGGAAATTAAGGATCGCGATTTCCGGACTAAACGGACGGCTAAAATGGGGTCTACATATTAACTGGCATTGCCTGCAATGTGCTGCTATAACTGCACACGAGAATCATTGCGTCATTTTGATAAGCAAGTAGGCAGAAATGAAATATATTGAAATTTCTTCAAACAGGTCGGTAGTAATAATTTGCAATAGGTTTATTCATTAATGGGAGCTTGGTACCAACGAAAAGACCCGCAGCAAACATACCGGAAATAATGATAAGAATATTCATGTAATAATGGGCGAGGAACTAGCCATACGCCGGATTACAGTAAACCATATTTGGTCCGCACACTGAGGGATACGATCAACATTTGTTTAACATTGCTTTCCCCTTATCGACCGTCATTGAACCAAAACAATCAAAATATGTTTATTCCACCAACTGTCATCACCGAAGTTAACCAGCGAGTCACCAGCGCTCAGGTAAAGTCTAACAGCGCTAGTGATGCTAGTTGATGAATGAACTCACGAGCCATGTGAAATTATGGTCGTTTGTTGTTCACTCCTTTAGAGTAGCACGTAAATACTGCACATGAAATTTGATCTTATCCCATGAGGGAACGAAGTAGGGAAGAGGTACGCGAAAGTGGAATTTTGAGCCCATTTGCCTCCTGGTCCGGGAACAAAACCTGGCGCCTGATTTAAGCGAAGCACTATTGCAACCCGAGGGTTGAACAGGCCACAGTACTAGGAAGTACATTATGGACGAGGCTTCCCAGAAAAAGCATTGCCAATATTCACATGAAAAACTAATTTATTCGTAGCGTTTCACGAGAAACAAACCACCGTCAGAGTTCGAAATGATCACGTCTTGGGCGTGAAACTGTTGGTGACCGGCTCTAAGTAAAACCGGAAAGGCGAACGTTCAGATATAAGAAACGCAGTTTAACTATTCATACGC